TAAACTCTAATGGGATTACATCACTCATTACTTCTGGAAAAAGCCATTTTAGCACTCTTTACTTTATTATACCTGCCAATATAATGTATATAATGTAATATAATGTAATATAATGTATAATGTAACAATTTACAACAATTACTAAAAACAATTACAACATGCCTAGAAGAAGAATCTGAATTTGCAAAAATTAGATATCGACTAGATTTTAAGATTATTTCAATTGAGATTATTATATTTGCACATTGATTATTGCATCACTCGGGAGCCCAGAGCCTCAGATAGTTTAAACGTGTATCCAGGGGCCCCGTTCCTGTCTTTTGCTTATAGGACCCAGAATCACTAAATTCACCCCTGCTTATTTCACGTTAGTTTTGCTGAGTGTACTCTAGTTAGCCATCATGACATTAAACATTATGACATCTGTCATTACAAATAGCAGTAATGGCTGTTGCATTTCTGTTATATTATGAGAACTCATGACAGCATATGATATCTGCAGTGTCATGTTTCTGACATGCTTATGTCAGTACTGTCTGGTTGGCTTTATGTAGCACAGTTCAAGTAAAGTATTGCCACAACTTCTCTGTTGATGCTCTGAAGATATATTAGTCAGTTTAGAATCATTTACTGCCACATTTAGCATTCTAGACAGTTTCTAAATGATCTTACAGCTTTAGACAACTTATTTGAAATCTTATGAATTTGCATACTTGCACGTACATTTGTTATATATTGACCATTCTACCAAACTAGTGCAAACTGCATGCCCACATAAATAAATAAATAAATAAATAAATAAATAAATAAATAAATAAATAAACTTTAAATGTTGGATTTGTTATTAGGGATTATGTTATTAAGGAGTATGTTATAATGTTATGCTCTATATGATATATTTAAACCCAAGGCATTAATTAAGATGGTAAGAAGCTAACTATATACAAAATCATCATTTATATGGTACTTTCTGTTATCAGTGTCTGTCCCAAACACTAACCCCTAAATTACAACTTGTGAAAATAATACATATATTTTTTTTCAAATATTGATTTTAATAAGGAAAAACGAGAACTTTAGCTCTGAGGAAAGCAGCAGTAGAAAACTTACCGAAAAGTAATGCTGTGTAAACGTCGCTGCTTTTGCTGACGTCCCACCCAGCGCGCGCTGAGAGTTTGTGTATCGAGCGTCGCCACAGCGCTTAAAAAGCCTGAGAGGAAGAAAAAAACACACAGCAGGATGTGATCCAACTCCACTCCGCTCACATCAACAATGACTTCAGGCAGGAATTTACTACCTCTGCTTGTACAAGGTACAGAAAATTACATTTAAGTGAATAAAATGGCTAACTTCGACATTTTACCTTAACCGAGGTTTAATAAGAGATTATGCTAGAAAACAAGACTGAGTAACTGTGTCAGTTTAGATGTTTATGGTCTACACATTCCCTATATATATATATATATATATATATATATATATATATATATATATCATACACTGTCCATCAGCTTTCTGAACCATTAGTTTTGTGCTTTTTTTGCTAGTTTCATCAAGTGACACAGTTACACTAAGTGGACAGGGTTAGATTCATTGTAGTTCTTTGGAATGAGGGGCTCATTGCCAGAGATTCAATGATGAGCCACCACAGCTGCTGAAGTACATTTTAGACCAGAAAATGTCAGAGCATACCAAGCAAAGTCCTAGTAGTTCTACAGTCATTTCCACTGTAGAACATTTCTGGCAGACCTTTTTTTACCTGAATACCACGATCAGCTAAACATGTCAGAACAATGATTTGTGTGATTTGTGTGTGTGTGTGTGTGAATGTTAATGGCCTCATGCTCATCTAGGCTGTCATCAAACTGGAGGTGCTCCAGAGAATGGACACTGGTATCCTGTGAAGGACATGGCAGGAGTAGCTATGCAAAGTGTATGGCTATAATGGGCCAGTCTCTTTTCCACACAGACATCTGAGAATAAAGAAAGACAATATGAAGTCAACCCTGCTACAACTTTCCTGTATGAAGTAAGCCATTACATGTATCTAGTGTGAGAAATTGCCTCATTTGAATCAGTAATCCAATACAGATGTGCAGCCACTTCATAAAAGCTTAAGTGAATAAGTACTGTTGTTTAGGTACAAAGCGGTTTTTGGAATAGTTCTGCATGCAATTTGTGTTCCGATATCAGGCCATTTTTTCAGAATGCGTTTTCCCTGTCTTTAATGATGCAGAATATCATATTTTCCCCTTCTGTCGACGCAAGAAAACAGGCAAAGTGGAGAGAATGCTTGTGAAACAGATGCAGTACGACAAAAGAAAAATGTATGACTTTTTCACTTGGCCAAGTCCTAGCAAGTTTTTAATGGCGTCTGGTTTTCCAGCATCACATCAACAGATAAATGTGAGGCTAAAGCAGCACTCCATGCCTGAGAGTGAGAGAGGGACTAAGAGGGCCCTTAGAGATAAGAATCTCACTTAAGTAAACAAGCACTAAGTCACAAAGTAAATAACCATGGATGCATGTTGGATTTGTAACTCATCAGGCCTTGAAAAAATGCACCAACACTTCTCCCACTGCAGATGCCTCAGATCAAGCTGTTCCATTTGGTGACTGTTAAATAGATTCAGAGAGAGCTGAGGATGCAATATGGCTTGATAAAGCTGTAATTTCACAGCAATTTAACACACTTACGCTCTACAAAACTACAAATCAACGACATGAGTGATGTCAACTCCATTTTTGGCATTTTTAATTTTTCTGGACCATTTGAGCAAAGCATCTGCCTTTTACATTGAACATTTCATGATAAATGGGCCAATAGAAATGATTCATAATTTCTTAGAATACAATCATGTTAAGTTTACTTTTTGTTTTCTCCTATAAAATCATCTTGGAGTTACAAGTTTTGTGAGAACAGACTAAAATAGTCATTTAACCACTACAAACATATCATTTCACTTTATTTTGAATTTTACTCAGTAAGTGATTGTGATACTATATTTAATACTCCGTTTGAGAAAAAATGTCTAAACAATCTAGATATCTGTATGAATGGCTGCTAAAATATGTACACCTCTAACACCTGATAATACAGACAACACACATATTCACAAGTATTTATTGAGCAAATAGCTTTTTTGTTTCCATCTGTGTTCATATTGTGACATTTTGAATGACTTCCCTAGGTTGAACTAGCTTATATAGCTTATATACATAATCACAATGTAAATCTGAACTGCCGTTATGTGGCATTGTGTAAACATTAGCAATGGACTGTACATTGAAGATTGTGTTCTTTCTCAGTTGCCTGAAGTAGTTTTACTAGCAGCCACACACTGATTGTTTGTTGCCACTCTGATGTGTGGGACAAACGGGAAAAACAATGACACTCACAGCTTTCACTACAGTCTCTAAACTGAAGTGTACCGCCTGTCAAATGTTTTGGGATATCTTACCTTCCTTTGAATTTTCTCACTGTTATTTTTTAATTAGGTGCTTTAAGCACGTTTTGTAACACGCTGCATGTGCATGTTCATTGAAGTCTCAATGAACACCATGATTTCACGATGACGTTTTACCTAAGTAATGTTTTAACAGTTTTTTTTTTCCAAAATGAAGTTAGTCATATTCAAAAGTTTGTCATTCTCTACAGTAAACATACTTAAATATGGCATTTTTCTGTAAATCTTAATGACAATTTCTATTTAGTTGCTGAATTTAATGTTTTGAAAAAAACGTGCTGTAACCTTTGAACGTACCACATTTCATAAGCCAGCAAAACATCATTTGACGAGGGGTACCCAAACTTTTGCATACCACTGTATTTCATAACTCTGGGAGGAGGACCACATCTAGGCTCCTCCACCTTCGTATCTAACACCCTATAAATTTCCATTTCTACCTTCTATTTCATGTGACAAAGTTTTCGCACCCCACTATCTCCTCCCTGTTCCTCAGTCCTATCTCTCAGGTCTTACCTCTCAAAGGTGGGTCCAGCCTTCTAACTTAAACCAGAAGCCAGAACTCTCCTTTCCTACAGTCGTACAATCTCTTCTCATACTACAGCCATTTGTTGATGGTGTGGTCTGAACGTGCAAACTATGCTTAAAAGTACATATTGAAAATATTTTGCCCCAAAGAAGCCTTAAACACAAGGTTTGGGTGCCGACATCACAATGGTATAAAATGTGTTGGGTATCATTCTCCCCACGCTAGAACTGCAAAAAATATTTTCATATTTGTGTGATAGTTTTTTTTTGTTTTTTTTTCAAAATAAACCTGATTAGTGCTTATCGTGTTATTGCAAACATACTCATTTGTATCAGAAACCTGAAAAGCTTGGAGTCCCGAACCTTTGTTGGGCAGGGTAAGTTAAATGAACTGACAAATTAACCAACAAAAAGCCTTCAGAATGCCTTCAATATTACTAATCCAGAAAGCGCTATCCCAATGAAAACACATTCTTGTGGAGCATTCAGACCATATAAGGACCACGTTACCTGATCCCTCACTGCTGACTGCTTCTGTCCCGTGTACTACAGGGTCTGGTCAGCTCCTCTGTGGAGAACGCTGTTCCCCAGCTGTGAGGTAAACTCCCTCCACAGACATAAAGGAGTCTGCCCATGAATGAAAAATAGTGCATACTTTACAAACAACACTCCCACACAGCCGCCTTAGGATACAGGCCAAGTAACACTGGAAAACAAGAGTTGTGATAGTCTCTCATTATTGTGACCGATGATGCTCTTGAGGCTTGTGATTTTGTCCTAAAAATATTAAAAGGGAGTTGGTTTGGTGAGAGATGCTGCCAAGACATTAATAGCACAGCTTTTGGTTTTGTTAAATGAAGCTGGGCCTGATTCTGCATCAGTTTAGCTAAAATAGGAGCCTGCTGATGAAGTCATGTCTGTACTAGAGCCAGGTAGCTTCTCTGCTTTGTGTACTGACCCTGAATGAAAATGAGTCCAGGCAAAACCCAATAACAAGGAAGCACATTTAATCGAAAGCAGACTTCTGTTTATTGACCATTGCACGCACATGAACAGATGAGAATATTTACACAGATGTAAACAGTCAGTACCTGCAACATGTAAGAACAGAGGCTGCACATCGTGTGTCTAGCACTCAGCTACATATCAGTTAAAAACATCATATATACGGCATCCGAGGGTCCGTCTGCCTCTTTCTGCTACTTTGGACATGCCAAGGGTACCACGGTATTAAGCTGTCACCAAATTTGTCGGTGGTCATGAACACTGAAGCCAACTGCAAGTTATCCTGTACAAACAGCAAAAGAGTAGTAGAGCTGGATGCAGATTAACCCACTGTCTTTAAGTCTGTCCATTATAACATCTGAGCTATCACTCTGGTTGAAACAGGGGGAACCAAAAAAAGCATTTTTGTTAGTCAATGTAGTCTCATTCATACACAGGAATCACCATAACAACATTTCAGTACCTGGTAATATTGTCAGTCCAGTTTTTGTACCAATTAGAAAAATGAACAAATCAGGAAAAAAGCCACAAAAAAGTTTAGCACTGAATGTTTTGCATTCTAAGCCTTTCATGAATGAATCTCATCAGAAGATCATAAGCAACCATTTGCACTCAATTTGTTGAAAGATCATTTGGGCATTGCTGCTGTTGGTGTCAGGGCAGCATGTATTAAGAGGTACTTGCCAACTGAACTCCTTCTAAGAACAAATAACTGGAGATGGAACTCAGTCTACCACAAAAACAGGTCTACTCATTCCTTCATCTGAAAAAATCCACCATATAAACAAATAAACAATAGTAGATATCTCAAGGTACAACAACAAATGAACAAGGCAAGAACAAGCAAAAAACAAAAGTGCAAAACTGCAATCATACTCAACTCCTTCACCTCACGACCATCCAAATATAAACACCCTGTTCCTGTTATCAACAGGCATGCCTACAAGAAATCCCACAATGCCCTCAGTCTAAATGTCCTGCACGGCAGGAGATAACTCTGTGTGGAAGGTCTCGGCTGCTCTCTCCCTCTCTCTTTCTCTCCCACCCCCCCTCCTGTTCCTTCAACTGCCCAGAACAGTCCCGGCCTCCGTCCACAGCAACACTGTAATTAGGGCTGTGTCTCGTCTGCATGTGCTGCTCCACTCAGCAGCTCCACTACACACACTGTTCACACACATTCTACTCAACCCTGGAACCCCAACAGCAGAGGGCAAATGTTAGAAGACATAAAAATAACAGCAAAAAAGTATCCTATATGGGTTTGTTTGCTCCTCTGTCAAGTTTTCAGGGTTTTATATTTTAACAGACAGTGCATTCATTTTACTTACAGTTCACTATATATATATATTTATATAGTGTAATTACATACAACTGCAACATTTTTTTTTCTTAACAGTCATCAAGATTGTTGTTCATCTTGTCACTGCACCACACCCTGATACCCCTGCTAACAGGAAATGGCCTTTTTTTCCCCCCTAGACATTTTTTCATTTTTCCAACCTAAAGTACAAACAGCAAAATACCTAATATCTGCTCACTCAGCCCTTTTAGACCACATCTAAAATCAGACAATTAACCTATACACTTAGACTTACAAGGCATTTGTGGTGCAGTGACATTCCACAACATCTGACAACAGTATCTCAATTAGTTATAAAATCCATAGAAACTCCACAAAAAACATATGGGAGAACACACTGCGATTCATCTCCACACAGCACACATCATGCAAAAGAACATAAAAAAAGGTCTAAGAGATCAAGCAAACTGCTATTAACTGCGTTTTCTTCTTTACTCTGTCCTTGTATGTCTGCACTATGTGGCTCTAAACCACAAAAAAAAAAAGCACAGGCAAGTTTTTTTTTTTTTTAAAAAAAAAGACTTTTTGTTCTTGTTTGGTTTGAACTATTAATAGAGACAATGGATTATGTTAAGACATTCATATTTAAACATGACTGAGTCATTTCAGTGGTTTATTACTGTATGTTGAAATTAATAGGAACATATCGAGGCTGACAGTTTTCTGTGTTTGAACAATGTTAACAAATTAGGGCAAATGGCCTCAGCTTTTGCCCCATGACCATCAATAAAAGAACATCTCACTGCTGACCACATGAATATATATAACAAGGTGTAAAACTCCCAGAGAGTCACAGTCAAAGGTCAATATGTGAGATCCAGGCCCTTTAATTACACAGACTGACAGGCATTCTTCTGTAGCCAATTACAAATTACGGCAAGTATGCAATAACGTCCCTCTTGCAGCCAGTCACAAGCCCTCAGTTCAGCCACACAGGTAAGCTCAGTACCAAAACACAAGGACTCCCCCTAGTGGACGGCAGACAGTGTTGTTTTACTCTGAGAGAAAATGAAAAACTACATTCAACAGGCACTTGATTGTAACTGCACAGCAAACACAGAGCCATCCAGTTAGCATGCCTCTGTTTCAACTCTCATAAAGAGAAAGCAGTTTGAAAGTGTAAAGATCCCAAGAACTTTACCACTGACCCAAATCCTCCTCAAAACAGCTCTCACCACCCGAAGAAAGCACAAAGCTAACACACATGGCAGGTTGTACCTATTTTACACCTTGCTATAAAGACAACAAAGAACTGCCACGTCGCTTCTCACAGTAACTTTTGAGGCGGTGAGAAAGTAGAGCAGGCCGACAATGCCACAATGCCGCGAGACGCTGCAGGTTCTGCTCAACAGCCAAGCTGCAGAAAAGAGACGCAGAACAGTTCACAAAGAGGATGGATGGCAAGAACTGACAAGTTACACTGACACCTTTAGAGGAACGAAAGAAAAGTGACAAATGAGGTAGAGACATCAAACCAGTCACGTCAGAGAGAGCAGAAGGGTGAAGATAAAGAGAGAAAGAGGCATAGAGGGATCACTCCAGATAGTGGTGGTAGGGGTGAAAGAGAGGGGGGGACAGATGGATAGGAATGCCTTAGACTCAGCCGTGTCACACGTGATTTTGTTTTTTGTTTTTTTGCCATGCAGTTCAAAGCTCCCGGTGGTGGCGGGGGTCCCGAGGCAGGGGTGGCTCTGAGTCATCCATGGGCAGGACCAGGCGTGTGCCCCGAATCACCAGCTCATGGTCACCGAAGGTCAGCTCTCTGTCCAGAGCCTCATCTGAGTTGATTCCACCCACTGGTTGGCCACTGGTGCGTGTGCCTGTGGCGTCTGTACTCACGGTGATGTCACCGTACGTCAGGCTGATGTTGCCATCGTTCAGGATGAGGTCCGAGTCATCATCTTTCAGCTGTCCCTCATTCTGTGTTGAGAGACAACAATTTGAGAGACAACAAATGTTTTCCCGTTAAAGGAATGGTTCTGGAAAATCAACATTTCACAATTTTTCCCGTTACCCTAAATGTAGTCTATGAGCCTAGACGAGTTCGCTTCTTTAGTTTTACAGCGAACAAAAACACATTATATCACTAAAACGAGAGTAGCAACCATCTTAAAGCCTGAATTTTCCCGTACTTTTGGTCCATCCGTGTCCATGTAAGCCGGACAAACAAGTCTGTTTAAATTACTTAACGATTTAATGCAGTTTGAGGCAATGCAGATGCTGGATGCCTTAGACACGAGGTGCATGTAAGCTTCCATTACTAGTTAGATAAATTAGCCTACGTATGGACTGAAAGGAAGATATACAAATTTGATATTTTGCTGAGCTATTCTACTAATAAGAAGGCTATTCTAGTGTACTGTGTGGTGGTGCTGGGTAGGAAGCTGACCTCATAGGCCTGCGGGCTGGTAAGGCATCGGGCCAGGGGGCCACAGCAGGCTGGCAGTGTGGCTGTGAGTGGAGGCCCACTGTGAGTCAAAATCGGCTTCAGGTAACTGTAGGACAGCAGGGTCAAGGCTTCTGTAACAGCATGAAACTTCAAACTGCCAATGCAAAAAAAAATACCCTGCTCTATGTGCCGTACAACAGCAAAATCATACAGATATTCTTATATAAAAGAAGAATCTCTCCAGCCTCTTACTTGAATTCCTCTAAAATAGCCATTTTCACTGAAAAAGCCATTGAACTGACAACGTAAAGGATACTTGTGGTCAAAGTTGTACCAGATCCTAAATAACCAGGCGCTCTCCTGTTTGGTGCTCCTCCTCTCTATTCCATCTGGGCCAATCTGCAGAAACACACCCATAAATAGCATTAGAGTTGATATAAATAATATAATGCATTCAGTATTGTCTTCATGCATAATTAAAAATGCACTTACTGAATTGTCCTGGTCCGAGTCGACTCCAACACTGTTATAACAAAAGAACACCAAAATAAGTTAAATCAAGTTAAATCAACCGGGAAATCTGTCTGCAGCACGGAATGTTTAATTAGTATTTTGTCATGAATTACATAAAAATATGCTTTTTAAGTTTTTATACAGTCTTCTGTTTAATGTTCACTGATTTTCATGGCTTATTTCACTGTATGTAGCTGCGTGACGCGCCCGGTGCACGGAAAAAAATCTACCCCGGGTCTATTCTCTAAACACCAGGGAGTCAGCCTGTTTGAGAATTTACGTGTTATTTACGTGATTGGCTGTTTGGAAATTACTTTATTCATTTTAATTGTTTTACTGTCATATTGTTTACATATATGATTTAGTGATCGTTCTAATTTATTTAGGCTATTCATTAATTTGCAGCATTCTTCTGCCCACTCCTCCCTAAAGCGGCCCGATTACCCGCCTGCTCCTGTGAGCAACACTGAAAATTAGTCCTGCGCCACAAGATATTGTGGCGGGTTCCACAGGTTCCACGGGTCCCGCGGGAACCCACGGTAGTGCAGACCTCTAGCTTTTAATTACAAAGTAGGATACACCTTTACTGAGACACTTCATCTTATGAAAACAGCAAATGTTCTAACTTCTAACTATGCACCTATAGAGGGCAGCAGTGAGTAATGTTTGTTTACTTGAGCTAGAGCTGTGTCTGTCTTCAGCTGGGAGCTATTAAGCATCCACAGCTAGAAAGCAAGATAGCTGATCTCAGACAGTGATAGAAACATCCTTGTGGCGACACACGGGCATCAACAACGGCTGCAAGAGAGGGCAGGAAATGCGGCGCCCGAGCCTCGCATGCTAAGTGCTGCAAGTAACAGGAGGAGGATGTCTGCATGCAAGAAGGCGGGAGAAGGACGACAGCCACGAGAGACATGAAGGCGGCGCACAAGAACTCGCCTCCCCGCCCCGCCTCCTGTTCCACAGCAAGGCCGCTAGATTATGCCTCACGTTCGATCCTGGCGGCCAAGCTGGGGAGCGGAGGTGGTGACAGGAGGCAGAACACGAGCTCTTTTTCCCTCTCAGCTCAGCCTTTAAAAAGAGCAAAGAGGGAACAGAGAGAAAAGAGAGGGATGAGCAGCAGCAGCGACAGACTAATGAGCTGAAAAGCTTGGTTTTGGAGAAAAGGACTGAAAAGTCTTTAAAGCCACTAAATGACCAGCTTGGGTTTGGTAAGATTTTGTTTATGTTTGGTGTAAAAATAAAGTTAAAATGGATGCTGCAGACGTTTCTCCTCCTGCTATCACTTGCGGGTCTTAGCAGGCACCGCCTTCCCGCCCTCTCTCGCAGCCATCGTCAGTGCCTGTGGGCTGGGCGACTGCCATAATCCTGTATTCACCTCCCTTTATAATCTTTCTAAATGTGTTTTTTTTTAAAGCTGCAGCTGTTAGAAAAGCGGTTTTGCATTTGAAAAGACTAGTATAAATAAGCATCACATTAGCCCTGCAACAGTGGAGCACAGCAGCCACAAAAACATAACCTGAATCAACAAGTCCTTGAGCTAAAGTCTACAGTTTCACAAAGCAGGATTCCTTAATCAGCTAGGTAACTTTGGATAAAGGTCAGAACTGTCCAAAAGGAGGAGAACCTTGAAGGTGCATTCGTTTCCAGTCCAATCTTTATCTTAAGCCTCTCCAGCTCATGGAGAAGTTCTACTTTTATCTAAATAAAATGAGAGTGTCTCAGACTGACCGGATGTGCTGGAAGGACAACATCTGAGTGGTGCCTCCTCCACAGATCCACACAGTGAAGAAGACCACCAGTAGTGTGGTGGAGAACATCATCTGTCGTGCATACGTGGCTGTGTCCCTGATTGAGAGGGCAAAGGTCATGGCTCCTCGCAGACCTGGGAAAAAAGAAGGACTTGCGTGATTTTATGTACCGAAAAAAGTCATAATTCATTTTTACGTGACCATCTTCCAACCTCTCTTTATCCCTTAGAATTAAACAGGCTTTTTTGTTACTTTGCCTGTAAGACTGATACACACATCTGTTCTGGTTGGCTTCCCTGTGTTGAGCCACATTTAAACAAAACAAAACAAAACAAAACAAACAAAAAAAAAACCAAAAACAAACAAACAAAAAAAAATCCAGATTGAAATACCCCTTTTAACTTTAGCATCAACGTATGCAGCTAAACCAATGTAGGCTGAATAGGCAGATATATGTAAATGCATTACTTTTCTCGATGTCACAATACAGTGAATTTAACAGTTTAGCTTTGCAGCCCAGTTTTCATATATGGGATGTGTGGACTGGACAGTGAATGGTATGTTTTGAAACCCTGTTTACATATATGGCCCTTTAAAACTTTCCTAGTTTATCTATTCCCCGTAAAGTTTTTTGGAATCTTAAATTACAGTTTTTTTTGCTTGATTTTTTTTTTAAAACTCTGATTACTTAATTAATCATTAAAATAATCAGTAGGTTACTCAATTACTAGTATAATCAATAGTAACAGTCCTAAATATGGCGTTGTAATGGCAAGGTCTACAACAGCATTGCTTAACATTCTTTAGAAACAGAATTTCTGATCATATAGAACAGTAGAAAAGCAGAAAAACACTCTTTTCTTTCTTTCTTTGCATGCTTGTTTTAAATGTGCTAATTCAAAGATTTTCCTTCTACAGAGTTTCATTTCAAGGCTAAAAACGCTCCGTCAACAAACCTGCAAACATCATCATGTGCTGAAAGTTGGAGCTTATCTTGTTTCTGCGGCCCAAGTTGAGCAGGAAGGAGAGCGGGTAGATATTAGCTGCACGGCCCAGGAACACGGCCAGCTGAGAGAGGAAGCTGTCAAGGAACCACTCAAAAAATGTGAGTAGCTCAACACTGCTAACCTCTACATGCCCATCCAAAAGCATGACTCTTTGTGCTTCCTACTTCTATTGGGGAAATGAGAGCTGTTTTAGAGAAGGTATTCGAGCTCAGTTACTCCAGAAGTACAAACGTAACTGTGCCACTCCTGACCATTCACTTAGCAGAAATCGCCGGTACTGCTTCACTGGAACAAGCAAAAACATATCCAACCTGCCCCAGCGTGACCACTTCATCTCACTCTAAAACTCGCACTAAAACTCCACTATTCCCCTTCATCTAATCAAACAGAGACGTAAACTCAAATGTTTGCAAAAACAATCCTGCAACCCTCACAAGCTCAAACATACAAGGTACATTAAATTTGTATATTTTGGAGACAATGCCAAAAATATGTACTGTTATTTATGTTTCACTAGGCTTGTAAACAGTAACAAAACCATCTTATTCGGCCAACTGTGCACCATAACTGCGTTAACTGGTTAGGAAGTACATCTGCTGATACTTCCAAGAATGTCACTGATGATGTGTCATCAATACTTACATACATACATACATACTTACATACTTACATACATACATACATACATACATACATACTACTACTACTACTAATAATAATAATAATAACAATAATAATAATAATAATAATACTCATAACAGTTTTTACTGTACTTTTGAGACAGCCCCTCACTCAGGACAGTGAGAGCATGCAAACTGAACCGTAACATTTCATAAATTAAAAGAACATATTAAACATGAAGTTCTGTAAAAGTTATGATTATAGTACACCATCATCATTATTTGGCAAGAAAGTGTAATTATTCTAGTAATAAAGAACATAATTGTGAATGTCACACAAAGTTGTCGTGTCTGTAGCAGCTTAGCTTGGCCCGACTGTACAAGAGCTCATCTGAATCTCATCTGAATTTGGAAAAATAAATGTAGTATTAATATAGGATATTACATCATTCTACACATTTAAAAGTTCAAACCAACAGTGAATGAGTTTTTACCATCGCTGGTAACAGTCACTGAGCACAGGCCTACTTTTTAGCATCATACTACGTTTACACTGCACATGTTCAAGAAGTTCAGGATACAAATGCTCCCAGTATAAAGATGGGGTTGAAGACATGGTTCTGGAAGGTGAACAGGGTGAGGCCCATGTAGGAAAAGATGAAGTTCTCTGCCAGGAAGTTCAGTAGCTCAAATAACTGGGGGAAAAAAAGAACACAGTAAAGTATTTTGAAATCTTCACATCCGGTCATGTAGAACCAAGGAAAATCTGACAAGTCAGCCGGCTTAGTTATTAGTTCTTATAGGCCCAGTTTTCCCAAACAGATTAAGCCTAGGACTAGACTAAACAGGATTTTAAATGATGAAGTACCACTTTCACTGCAATCAAGCAAAAAAATTCTACAATATACACAAATTCTCTAGTGGCAGAAGAAGGTCTTACTTGCTTGGTCCTGTCCTGTGATTCAGGGGAAAGGTTGTTATATGTGTAATGGGCCTGAGTGATCCCACAGAAAAGAACAGCTACCACACCTACAAAAATAAAGCACATTCAAAAGTTGCCCTGGAAATCATGATATGGTCAGAGATCTATAGCACTTTTGGGGGCTGAATGCTACCTGTGAAGCCGCAGGCCTCTGCCAACAAGAACGTGCTCCAGGACATGAGGAAGAACAATGCTGTCTCTAGCAACTGGAAGTCCCGCAGCTTGGTAAACTTGGTGACGTGAGGAAAAGTTAAGGAGACTCGATAGCCGGCACAGTTGAAACCATTAGACATTACACTATTATGTTACATACAAGACTTTGAAAAAGTCTGAAGGCACTGGAGAAAAATCTATTTAAAGCTATTGATCTGGGCAGTAAATGTTTATTTGCTCTGAAAGCTACTAACATTAAAATAAATACCAATAAACATTAATATAATACATTGTAATTTAATACAATACAGTAAACTGTGATGTTATGTGCATCAGTGTGTTCACTTAAACCTGGCAAAAGCTGCATAAAGGAGAACAGGAACCAAACCTGTTTGCAAGCTATCATCTCTTTTTAAAACAAATCCAAAAACACTGTTACTGGTACTGGTACTGATGGTTAACTTAAGTGACCTAGGTGACCTAAGACATTTACACAGTACTGTACATAAACCTTTTAAGTCTTTATAGACTTTTACAAAATCTAAACCCAGTGAAGGATATCAAAGCTGTCATTACCCCAGTTGCCACTCCGAGAGCAAAGGAGCCACTGAAGACGCCCAGAAAGATGCCAAAGGACTTCAGCACAGCCATGGCTTCAAATGTATGACTGTTGTCTCCCTCAGGCTGATATGCAACAATGGACCTGTTACCAGGATACAGATAAAGACAAATATACATACAAACCTTTTCTCTCACAATATGCTTGGAAGCAATTCACTCAAATATTACCACCCTCAAAAGCCCTATTCGGATTGGATTAGTTTATCCGGGATCTTGTATTTACTAATTTTTTTTTAATCCAGATGGCATTGCTTTTCTGATTGACTTTTTTCCCTTTTAAACTATACACTGTTTTGCGATTTGAGATGTGCTTAGTAAATATGTGCACAAGAATATTAAATACAACAAGTAGCATTGGTCAAAAACCTTTTGTTTTTCAACATGAGGAAACATCTTCCTGGACAAATCACTGCAGCATGTGCATCTACACAGGACAAACTTTAACAGACCACTGCTGAGATTGGTGAAAAACGGTAGGTAATTCAACCTATAATTTTCTCTACAGGAGGTGGGAGAAAAAACACCAATATGGCCAATCCGGACAGAAACAAGATCACATAGTAGCACTTGTAAAAGAGGAAATTACCTCAGGACCCCATGTAAATTTAATCCCATCCGAAATGGGCTCAAAACTACAGGGTGCTAAAAGAAGCAGGAATACTCAAGTAAATTATAAACTTGGTAGGTAGATAGAATCCAACACAAATAACTCTAATATTGTGTTGTCTCAGTGGAAAGCACAAATATCAGGGAAAATAAAAGGCACAGCATGCCACGCCCTGGTGGTCTAAAACAACAAACCCAACCAGATTTTCCATTATCGTAAACCAGAGCATCTGTTTTTCATGATGCAAAAACTGCACAACAGCTTAACTCCAATCAGGCAAATCAGCGTTCTGCTGAATTCTACTGCACGGTGGAATTCAAAATATGAAAAGCTGCCATGTATGTGCTGGACTAGGACCTAGCAGAAGCACAGTCACTACTGTTATGGTTGACATAAGGATTCTGTAGGCGTAACGAGACTGTCTCCTTTTTTACTGTTTTGGTTATTCATTATTTATTACTAAGAACAAAGTGGTTCAAAATAATTAATTGATTCATCTATTATATATGCAGCAGATTTGATTAATGTTCCTATTTTCTACGTTGCCATTGTCTCCCCTGTTTTACAATTACAATGTTCTTATTTAAGCAGTACAAATGCAGTTGAGAATACAGTAGATAGAGGGTTCCTGAAGTAAGGAGTCATTCTACAGAAGGGGTCAAACCTTAACCAAACACACACCCAGCACCCAGCAAATGCCCACAGTTTGGCCCCATTATTACACCAAATAAAAGTCACAACCATAATGAAAGTGAGACTTCAATGAAATAAAAACTCATCACATGGGTGGTAAACGCTTCTGAAATCTCTATGCATCATACTATTCAAACATACAAATGTGAACTGAACACTTAAAGGGACATTCCGGCTCAAAACTAGCATTTAATATGTTATTTGTTATGTAGTATTCCACAGTGCTCAGCCTCATCAGTTTGACAGAATTCACAATTTTGTTTCCTATTTGAGTTTTACTATGTTAATGTTCTGTAACTACAATACCCAGCATGCACTGTGCAAATATATCACACAATCACCTTCAAGGTACTTCATCTAAAGAGGGGTTTTCCTAGTCTGTAAACAATAAAATTTCACTCTGTGGGCTCCTTTTTCAATATATATTTAATTCAGGAGTATACAATTCTGGTCCTTGAGGATGAGAGTCCAGCACAGTATAGTGATTTCCCTACTCAAAAACACCTACTAAACCTAGCATTTAACAGATGAATCAGGTGTGTTTGAGCAGGGAAATCAGCAAACTGTGCTGGACTTCATAAGCAGAATTTAACACCCCTTATTTAGATCTTTCCTTCTGACACGACCACTTCATTACAAAATGTGACTTTCTTTTTTTGTTAAGTAGTTATTTAACGTTTGAGCGTATCAGGTATAAAATCTGAAACATGAAATTCGGTCATACTCTGAAAAAACGATAACTCTGAGGCCTAACTGTGGGTCATTTGCTCTGCATACTCTGGCTTACACCAGCCAATGCAGACACACCAAAAACTCTGATCTTCAGAGTCAAAGCTACTTGTGTAGCACACCCATTGAGGGGTGATCTTTGCGTCTGGTTCCCGCCCTCTATGCACTGAGCCACGCCTCCATGGCTATGCTGGCCCACCCCACTGTGCCTCCCGTGATAAAGGAGAATTCTGGAGACGATGATATGGTCCAGCAGGAGAAGAACCAAGCGTTAGGCACATTCCACATCACAGTAAAGCTTTGATTAGTAAGAAGTCACAACATAATCCATGAAACATGCAGTGCTAATGTGCTAGAACAAGTGTATGACTAGTAATTGCAGAGAGCTATGATAAAAATAACTACTAAAAAAATTTGCTAAGTATGTCTTAATGTACAAACAAACATCTCTAAGAATATGAAATGTTTAATACTGGAAAACTGCCTCTAAAAGAGACATCAAACCTCCACTTACAAAGAAAGTCAAAGCCATTGTGAATCAGTTGTTCTAATTTTGCACTTTTAGGGCATTTTCACATCTGAAAGTCTGGACCAAGGTCTGAACCAAGGTCCTTTTTTTGGTCCTTTTTGTCTGAGGCACCTTTCACATCTGCTATTTTGGTTCAGACCAAACTGAAAAGTCCCAAGGTCCATTCCAAACAAGGTAGGTGTGAAAGCACTTTTAGTCATGGTATTAAGAAGATTCTGTATGTCCGAACATGAATACGAACTATTATTGGAAAAAGAACTTACGAGGACAGCACCACAGCAACAGCATCATTCAGAACACTCTCTCCAAACAGTAGAGCATAGAGGTCAAAATCCACCTGCAACTCATTGAAGATGGCCAGGACTGTCACTAGAAAACAAGTTTCATAATGCAAGCTTTAATTTTCAGATTTATGACCACTCCTAATCATATGTTTCAAGTATAGCCATATCTAAAACATGAGATCAACAAAGAAAAAGGTTAAATTTCACTCTCTATGACTTCTCTATGTGTAAAACATCAAACCCATGGTCAATATTAAATTTTAGAGCCACCTATAAAGTTCAAACTATCTGATTACTTTAAGACACACCTGGGTCAGTGGCTGACACAATGGCACCAAAGAACAGGCAGTCAGTGAAAAAGAAGTCCCCGCCCAACTGGCCAATCTGCTTCATCAGCATCACACAGCCATACATCAGTAACCTGCAAACGTAAAATCAGAATTTTTAACATGGTTTGTTGTCTTGAAGCACCCAAAAGACCCATTCCAGAAGTACTAACCCAATGATGAAGCAGGACACCACTGTTCCTACAAAAGCATAAGCCAGAATGGAGCCCATGTTCCTAAAGAAATGTCTCTGAAATAAAATGAAAAATAAAGCTAATGACTTTCATTAACAGACTGTTAACTTACGTCAACTTTAATGAGAAATGTTAAAATTCCTGGCAAGTCTTGGTTTTAAAATCTTAGATTTACTATTCAGCCACCCAAAAATGTGATGAATCACTTGTCAAGTACTCTTAAAATCTAATAATGTGGCTACTAGATGTAATCTAAGTCCCATGATGTACAAAAGCATAGTTCATACCCGCTTTAGGCTGTACCCAGCATGAAATATGATCGGAGGCAGAAGAATATTGAAGAACACTTCAGGGTCAAAGGTTACCTGAAACAGCATGAGATGTTACACACTGATAAACCTGTACTATAATTAGTTCAGTATAAACACATTACTTCAACTTTGCCATGTGATGCATTACCTCAGCTTTGTCACATGACACATCAGCATTCAGAGTTTGTGACTTTGTGTATTTGTAGTGAAATCAAACTTAACAACATTAAAATCTACAAGAACTGTTCACTAAGCGTCAGAAGGACACAAACAAAATAAATCCACAAACAGAGAACCATCCCTACATAATACAAAGGAAAAGCAAATAGAATAATGTAAAAAAAAAAAAAAGAAAGTTTAATCTGAGCACACACAAGCAATCAATTTACCTTACGAAGCATCTCGTTGTCCTGAACGTCACTGACTTCATTGGCACTGATCTCACCCTTCAGCGTGTACTCATAGAACTTGCCACTGACATTTACCAGCAGTGTGGCCGGACTGGAATTGACATGGCAACTCAGTGTGACATTGTTAATGTCTCGGGGAACATGGATCCCATAGCGTAGCACAACCCCAACAAGCAATCCTAGTGACAGAGGGGGAAAAAAAAAAAATAAAAAAAATCAGTCAATGGTGAAACACTCCACTTGTTTTTTTTTTGTTTTTTTTTTCATAAGCAGACCAGACGAGAGCGGATACTGTTCAACAGGCAATAATACGGCAATTATAAACTTATATTGACCAAATTGGCCCAAAACATGTCTTAAAACCTAAAACTAACATTCAATATGTTATTTATGTTACATTATGCTGCACTACAGAATACTACATTGCAAACCTCAGTGTCATTCGTTCAACAGAATGTAGTTTTTTATCGTTTTCATGTTTTCGTCTTTCAGTGTTCTCTCACTATGCTACCCAGCATGCACTGCAAAAATATACACCACGGTCACGGTCTCTACCGCACTCAACAAATCCTAGTCAGTGATTTAGAGTCTAGAGAGTATTTTGTAAAGACTTTTTTCTTTGTTCAAGGAATAAATGTGATTCAGCCAGCTAGCAAAAACAAAATCAAACAGCCCACCCACAGTATCCTTTCATTAATGTACCTCTATCTCCAAAATACATCATTAGAAAGGGGTTTTCTGTCTTTAAACCAGGACATCTCATTTTAGAGACTACTGCAGCACTGCTGTAAGAGGTGAGTGGGCACACAACAGACGTAGTGATGGTTATATTTTTTATTTTCGTGTCCCTTTATTTCCTATAAAGAGCATGGCCTTAGTAATAAATGTAAAAAAGCCATAATTTATATTTTAACAACGATTCCTGTTCTGTATTGTAACACAAGAATTCACAATGAAATCATCAAGGCGGGGATTCCCAAAAGCATTTTAGTATAAATATGACTTTTAAATGGTAGAGCCACCATCACGCTGAACACTCTCTCTACCACTTAAGATCTTAACACTAGGATGCCTTTGGAAAACTTAGCTCAGGCTAGTTATTGTTTATGTTGCTATTCTACTGCATAAACCCCCCTCAGTCAGCCTATGTAGAGCCTGTAATATAACCTATAACGGAGAGGTTAGGCAAGATTTAGGGGATCTGACTAACCTGTGCTATTGCTGTCATGGAGACGCCTCTTGCAACAATTAGTCAGTATAGCTACTGATTGTCTTATATGGCTCAGGACAGGCTTTTAAGGTCCAGCATGATATTACAGCTTCTACGGTCTTACTGTAGAAGGACAGAAAATTATTAACTAAACCTGCACTGGCAAACACGCTCAAGCGAGCCAGAAAAAATAACATAATCTAGCTAGGTTAACTTCCTACAGCGAACCTGGGGTCATATTCTTATTCACCAGCTTCTCGCTGGAATTTTCCCGTTCTACCTTAAATGGTGCAGCATGTAACTGCTGCACCATTTAAGGTGGAACAGGAAAATTCGAAAGAGAAGCTGGACAATAAAAAGCCCACTTCAGCCTCGTCTAACTAGCTAACTTACAAAACACAGAGCGCTAGTAACCTTAACATTAGTAGGTAGCACTAGCAATCAAGCAAGCAGATTAACCCCCTCACAAGACTCAGCTAGCCAGACAGCTAACGTTAGCTAACTACATTTTGCGGGCCTGATGACGACCCCGCTTCCTTAACACTGTGTCACGATTTGAAATCTGCACATATAGACCGTATTGCTGTGTTGCATCTACCGTAAGATTAGCTTGGCTAGCGCTTCAGCTAGCCCAAAATGAATGTAAACATCCCACAAGCAACCCAGTGGCATCAGTGACACGATACATGATGCTGCTGCTGCTCGTTCTCACCATATATCATAGCCAGGCCCGTTTCGTGTAAAAACCTGAAGCGACGATGTTTGAACAGCCATATGGTTAAGATGGTGAGGGTGAGGAGCAAAATGAAGATGAGTAAGTCGGCGCTGTCTTGTCGGTGGCTTTCTTCAGCCTTCTTCTCTGTCACGATGTTCTCCATCGCACTGTCTTCAGCTCCGCAAACGCAGAAGCAAACGGACAGGCTGGCTAAAAGGCACAAAGACAGCTTTCTCCGAGCTCCCTCTGCGGTGCTGAACTTCCACTTGGAGCCCATGTTGGCATTTCTTATAGGTCAAAACGTCAGAGGTGCGAAGTCTGTTCAGAAAAACATTACAGCATCCCGAAGGTGAATTTCAGTTTCTGGAGAGAAAAGGCTGTGAGGATTGTTCCTGATTCAGAGCGGCTCCGCCCCCTTCTCCCTGCGTCACCGCGCTGGAAAATCCTTTAATGTTCGTTCACGTTACTGCAGCGCAGGCAATGCGCATTTCATCGCGTTGGCCCTAAAGGGCTCAATTCCTACATTTGTTGTATTTTTACTTTTCCCCTAAGACCCACTGTGGGTTTATATACCAAAAATAATATTTTTCTGACCATTTTCTAACCTTTTTTTTTATTCCTAAACAGGCTGTTTTTATTACTGTGCCTGTTAGTCACCTGACTAAGAGTGAGCTCTGCTCTGATTGGTGGGTTTACTGAGCTCGTCCAAAAGTAGTCTGGACTAAAATACTTATTATAACTTTAACACGGACGGGAACAACCTGCTTTAGATTGACTATGTAGATGTATGTAAATCACAAAACCACTGAATTAACAAAAAAATCTGATGGACTGGTAAGCCCTAATGTTTTATTTGTATTTGCCCTCCCAGAGAACACAGACAACATAATCTCAGCTGTGCTGAAATGCAGTAGGCCTATTTGGAATTACATGACCACTGTACACCCCATGATTTTTTCTGGCTGGGCTGAATAACTTTAGCAGGAATGTGCTAACCTGCCTTATGCTGAGCAGGCCAATATATGTAAATCACATCACAAAAACAACTAATGTTTGCCGTTTAATTTCCATAAATGGACTGTATGGAGTATGGGGTGCTGAGTGAATGGTGCAATTACTCTTTAATACTTTAACAACTGCAACATCATCTACAGTCTACAGAGATTTGTTTGGGATGTTCTATGAAATACTACACTTATGAGCAGTGTTTTAGGATTTCTAATATTTATCAATGTGTCAAGAGATTATGAAGATTGCATGTCACTACAGTTAATAGGAAAATGGAATAATGTGGGTTTTGTTTTTGCTTGTTTGTTTGTTTGTTTGTTTGGTATTTATGACCGAAACAAAAGTAAAATGAAACTTTCATTGCCACTGTTAGGCTGGATTCTTTACATTCACAAGGAAGAATGTTTATATGTGCCAATCCTGGATGAGCTCTTGCTGTCCATTTTATTATATTTTTTATAATATGGGTTCCAAAGGTGACATCGCATATACATAAAAATAATGCGTGGCCACGACTTGGTAAGGCATGGGAACTAGATCATGCCTTATTAAGCTGTGGTCAAGGCTTAATTATCTCATTCCCGTGCCTTACTAAGTCATGGTCATGCATTAGGATCTAATTCCCATGCCTTGCTAATTCCTGGCCATGACTTAATTATCTCGCTCCCACGCCTTACTAAGTTGTGGCCACGACTTAATTATCTCGTTCCCATGTCTTACTAAGTCATAGCCATGCATTTTTTTATTTACATGGGATGTCACCAGCAGGGCTCTGTACAAAACCAATCCTAAATCAGCAATCTTATTTCACCAGCATTAATGCGTCACCTGATGTAAGATCAGCCTTCTCTGAGATACTTTCTGAGGACATGCTTAGCATTACATATCAGTAGTCATATAGGTGCCTTTCCTCTGAGCAATAAATTGATAATACGTCTGGAAAATGAGTCATTTGAGCTTGATTTCAATTTATGCTAATTTTAAACTTAAATCCAAGTAAACTGTCATGTCCAGGGGCAGATTTAGGGACTCTGGGGTCCTATAAGCAAAACACAGGAATGGGGCCCAGTGGATACACATTTTAAAGTAACTGTGGCTCTGGGCACCTGAGTGACGCAATCGTTTAAACATTGTAATAATCAACATATAAATGAGTTATGAATGAAATAGTCTTAAAATCTTTTTGCTTTCCTCTTATTTTTTGCATTTGTAGAAAACCCGTAAGTGCCATGGAGGAAAAAAATTGAAATGAAATTGCATTCCCTTACAATAGTTTTGCATTCTCTCGCAACAGTTTTGCATTTGCTTGCAAAATCCATTGCATTTCCATTGCAATGCAACATCATGGCGCTTAGGGATCCAACATTTCTCTGCTGAACTTGGATGACTTTATTTGATTTTCTCTCTCAACATTTGGAAAATTACAATGAAGAGCCTCCTCTCCATAATGTAGATTATCGCTTAATTGTCTTTTATACCAGTCTGTCCTCATACACACAGTTGTGTCATCACTTAACAACACAGACATAACAACCATGACTGGGGTGAGGAGGGGTATTGAAACAACTGAAAATAACTGCTACAATCTCATCTCATCTCATCTATATCCATATCTATATGTCTATATCTATATCTATCTATCTATCTCTCTCTCTCTATATATATATACATACATATATATATATATATTTAAACAGCTTGGCTCAGCGGCACTTTAGGCAACTGCTGACCTTTGCCTAGTGCAAAGAGCACCTTTCATCACATCTTTGTCTTCAGATAAAAGCTAGCAGAGATTTAATCTCAAAATTCAGGGCGGTCAGTGAAATGCTGAAAATACTGCTCTATGTAAGTGGATGAAAAGAAGGAAAATATTTGCTTGCTGTAATTGTAGATCCATCAAACCCTAACAGAAGATAAAGAAATTTAAGCTTCTTTTTCACCACCGGTAGTTGCGGCAGTTCCCACTACTTATTACTGGACCTCATTCCCATTAAAAAAGGAAAAAGTGGTTTTTATGATATTGAAGCCTGTATGTACAAAAAGAACACAAAAAATAGTTAAAAAATCTAATGAGAGCAACAGCACTTTATGGTTAGACTACATAACCCCTATTTGATTTTTTTGATTTAAAATGACAATTTTTCACTCAGAACATGGATTTTCTCTAGAGGAAGTGGTGAGGGGAAATGAGGAAGGTCATTTATTCAGGTCAGACAGTATTTATTTATTCCACACAGACTGTTGCTGAACTACAGCAGAGCTGCCTGTGAGAGAGTCTGGCACTAGCACAGAAACTACAGGGAAAAGACAATTTTAAATCAAATTTTCTTGTACTTCTTGCTCATATATTATACTTCAGACAATAAATTGAGGCCACAGACTAAAGAGAGGTAACTGGAGTCACAGAGGGCCACACCACACACAGTGACGTGCTTCTCCTCTCAGCTCATTATAAAGCTGAGTGATAATGAATGGTGTCAGAACAGAGTGAACGTTAAACTTATTATAATATATCAAATGTATTTTTGTAGTAAAGAGTAATTCAACTGATTTAAAAAAAAAATCGGCATTATTCAAATGTTGTCAGCAAAGAATGGTTTGATGTAAAATGGTGCATTTTACAGTGGTGGTGTTAGGAACAAGAGGTTGTGATGTTTACAGCATAAATATATTTTGCTCCTCAAAACAACCAGTGAATGTATATGTGTGTTCTAGTTTTTATATGTAATTTTGATAATGGTAAAATAGGGGACTATTTGGCCTTATAACGCCCTGCATGTACCTCTCCGCCAATAAATGGTTTTTAAAAATACACTTTAAGTTAAAATCTTATCTGAAAAGTATTGTAAAACAATGTTGTAGGTAGTAGACAACATATTTAGTAATTTTATGTAATAATTTTTGTTGAGGATGTTTTACATTAAACACTTCAGACGTCTGGTTCCTATCACCACCACTGTGAACAATTCTGACTCTGTATTTTTTTATTTTTTTTTAATAGAGCATTTCACATTAAACCACTCTGGATGATGATGATGTTGTTTACCTCTTAATGATTTAATCATGCAGAAATTAGCATAAATTCTGCAAAAAATCAGTGTAATTTCCCTTTAATCATCAAGTAACAACAGAAAATACACAGACATTGTCAGTTTCATTATTTCATTATTCTTTGTCATTATTTTAAAATCTTATTTGAATTTTCTAATGCTGTAATACTGTATAAGGTTTACATAATAACAAAAAATATGATAATAATAAAAAAAAACAGCAGCAGAGAATGCCACATTACAAAGAACATTAATAACCTTTTTTGTTAAACTCCTTCCTTACGATATCAACATTCTCATTAAAAATACCACATGTATGAAACACATTCACAACCAAAAATTCCTCAGAAAGCATAACTGAGAATGACATCAAAAACAACTGAATATTCCTCTGGCTGGTATCTTAAATATTTCATGAAATTCTCTATATACAACCATTTGCATTAAACAACTGCCCCACTTTTATTATTTTTAAAGGTTAACATTAAGACATCGCACAGTCATGACTTGGTAATGTTGATGGATTCATTGATATACTTCCCCAAAATAATTACAACATTAATAAACAAATTTTATCCAAAGTAATACTGAGTGTGTACATGTGTAAAAAGATGATCCGTTGTTTCAATGTAATTATTACAGAACACACAAATGTTTTGTTCTAAATCAAAACTACCATACTAAATAGAATATCAAAGACAATACACCACTAATAGAGGACCATTCATTAGTGCAGTATGTGTAGTAGTATAAATATTATTTATACTAAATATACTAAGTATAAATATTATTAATAATAACCTGTGGTGAACTTCTTGTTTTTTGGGGGTCGCAGGGAAAAACTCTAAACTGTTTCTCCAGGACCAGAAAATGCCCGTCCAGGCCGCCAACGATAGGTGCCATTTTTAAACCGTTGATTTTTTCAAAATAAAAGCCGGGGAGCTGAAGGAGGGTGTTTGGCTCGGATTTCCGCTTGGCTCCGGGACTCTGATATTGACATCCCGCTTGTTGAGGTCTGCTTGCCGTCGCTCGCTCGCTTCAGACCTGCGCTCACTTGAAAATGGCTTCGTCCTTTTGGAAAGGTGTCGTTGGTCTGGGCCTTTTTGCGTTGGCCCACGCAGCTTTCTCCGCCGCACAGCGTGAGTATGAAGAGGTCTTGAGGAGAAGTGTTGTGCGAAGTAAACGATGGTTATCTGTCTTCTTGAAATAAGTTACATTGATTCTGCAGCCTATGAAGCTGGGTGGTAGCTTAGCTAACAGTTGAGTGGGACTGCGCTTCCTTCGGGCTTAACGATCTTAACGTTAGCAGGTTCAGCCAACCGCTTCATTTACATGCATCGATGAGGCTCGGCGTTCAG